CCCAGCTAATTTTTTGTATTTTTAGTAGAGACGGGGTTTCACCATGTTGACCAGGATGGTCTCGATCTCTTGACCTCGTGATCCACCCGCCTCGGCCTCCCAAAGTGCTGGGATTACAGGTTTGAGCCACCATGCCTGGCCTTGACACTGTGATTTTTAAAAGGACATTCAGATTTTATGAAAAATCCCGTTTTACTCAATGTTAGCAATGAATCTACACTTTAAAAAAATGATGTGCAGGCTTAGTAAAATTTAACTCACCCATTTGTGACCTCTGGTGTGTGTCTTTTCATACCTGTCTCTGTGCTCAGCACGTGTGGGCACGTGTCAGTGTGTGTGTGAGTGTGTGTACATGGCTAAAGGCAGCAGAGGGAGCGACTACAGTGCCATCTCAGACAAGGCAGTGCCTCTGCGGCTTGCTTTGTTCCATTAGTAAAATAGAAAAGATTTTCTCATACCAGGAACAGGAATGAGGACACCTCAGCGCGGGCTGCTTCCGGGAGCGCCTCCCCTTCAATAATAGCATGAAATACAGTCCTCTGAAGACCTGCCATGCCTCCTGCCATCCAGCCCTGCCCTCCCTTCTCCCTCCACGCGCTTCCCTCTGGTTCCTTTAAAGTGCCCAGCCTCACCCCACAGGGCCTCTGCACCTGCACTCCCTGACTGCTCTCCTTTCTTCATGGGGTTCAGCCCTGCTTGTGTGGTTTTTTTTTTTTTTTTTGATGGAGTTTTGCTCTTGTTGCCGGGCTGGAGTGCAATGGTGTGATCTCAGCTCACCACAACATCCACCTCCCAGGTTCAAACAATTCTCCTGCCTCAGCCTCCCGAGTAGCTGGGATTATAGGCATGTGCCACCACGCCCAGCTAATTTTGTATTTTACAAAATGTTTCTCCATGTTGGTCAGGCTGGTCTCAAACTCCTGACCTCAGGTGATCCACCCGCCTCAGCCTCCCAAAGCGCTGGGACTACAGGTGTGAGCCACCATCCCGACCTGAAATGCTTATCTATTCACGATCCATGCCCTTTAGAAGGAGAGCTGCTGAGTCAGCACAGGCCAAGACCAGAGCCTGGTCCAGGAGCCCAGGCCCATATGGATGGTGGATGCATGAATGCACACGTGCATGAATGAATGAGTGAATAACGGAATTAGTGTATCCTTAGCAAAACGACATTGGGTGAATCCAAGATGGAGGCTTCTCTTGTGCTGGGGGCCGCCCTGGGGTTCTGGCTGCAGTGAGGCTGAAAGGCTGAATTAGCTACGTCATGTGTGTGTGTGTGTGTGTGTGTGTGTGCAGATGTATGCCTGTGTGTGTGTAGAGGTGGGTGGGCGGGAAATGGTCCAGGAAGCATCTGACAAGGGCTCCAGCCTCAGAGGCCTGGCTCAGCCGGCACATATGGCTGTAAAACTCAGACGAAAGTCCCGACTCCCCTTCCTCCAGCGGATTCCAATTTTATGCTCCCTGCGTTAATACCAATTTGGTGGAGAGTGTGAGGCGACGCTGAGGAATGCGCACTCGCGATGTCTGAACCATCTCCAAGATGCCTGCCAGCGAGGCCAGCCCAGAAGAGCCGCAGCCAGAGAGGCTGAAACCTGGGCCAGGGCAGCCCCAACTCTGGGGAGAGGAGACGCACACGTCCACCCGCACAGCCAGGCTGCGGTGGCTGCTGGTGAGTGACAGGGCCCACCACGCATCTCAGTCACCCGGAGGGCTGGGTGCAGGCAGCATGATTGATTTCTGATATTTTCCTCTTCAATAAAAATGGACTACTTTATAATCAGCTGAGAGGGAGTGAAGGAGGAAAGCTTCATTGTTTAAAAATATATAGACAAGTATTGAGGAATTTGAACACTTCCCCTCCCACCCCCGACACAGGGGTCTTGTCATGTTGCCCAGGCTGATCTTGAACTCCTGGGCTCAAGTGATCCTCCCACCTTGGCCTCCCAAAGTGCTGGGATTATAGGCCAAGCCACCATGCCTGAAGAATGTGAACACTTCCTGCTGGGCGCTGTGGGTCACACCTGCAATCCCAGCACTTTAGGAGGCCAAGGTGGCAGATCAACAAGGTCAGGAGATCGAGACCATACTGGCTAACATGGTGAAACCCCGTTTCTACTAAAAACACAAAAAAATTAGCTGGTGTGTTTGCATGTGCTTGTAGTCCCAGCTCCTTGGGAGGCTGAGGCAGGAGAACTGCTTGAACCCGGAAGGTGGAAGTTGTGGTGAGCCAAGATTGTGCCACTGCATTCCAGCCTGGGTGACAAAGCAAGACTCCATCCCAAAAAAAAAATTAGCTGGGCATGGTGGTGGGCATGAGGCTGAAGCTAGGAAGTGTGACTGCACCACTGCACTCCAGCCTGGATGACAGAGTGAAAACTTGTCTTAAAAAAAAAAATGGGTTTTCATTAATACAACTGATAAAGGTCAAGTTCTGGCCTGAGAGGTCACCTTGTGATTTCCAAGCTCTCACCTGGCAGGTCACACTGATTCTGAGGGCAGCACTCTGTGGAAACCACTGATACCTAGTCAGCCCAGGACTCTCGGCTGGCAGGGCAGAGCAGCGAACGTCCATCCTGGACAAACTATCCCTCTCTCAGCCTTGGGGACCACTGCAACCACCATCATAACAGTCTGTCCTTGCCGAGCGCCTGCAGGCTGCCAGGTGCTGGTCTCACTTAATCCTCACAATGACTCTGAGCAGCAATTGGCACATTCTCTTCCTGGCAATGAGGGGGTCTTGCTATGACATTGACTCCAAGGGGGTTCGTGAATTACCAGAGGGGCAGATCAGAGCCCCAGCTCTCTGGCTCTGGAGTCC